TAAATCTGCTGTTTTACATAATTGTTGAATGAAATTAACATAATTATTAATTTATTGTAAAAACATGACCGATAATCTGTGAAACACATCCGGTTCAGCTGCTGTTTATCTATTAGTTTCTATTGAGGCTGTGAGCTGTTGCCCTTTTAGACGCCATTTCTGCTCCTCCATGCTGTCACAGATGCTACCAGTGTACGGTATGGGCGGAACTCAGTCTAGTGATATTTAAGTTTATGAACGTAACTCATTTTGTTTAAACTAAAAGAAAGAACACATGATAAGACACACCAACTCTCATTCTGTTTAAACTTAAAGGCTGCAATGATCAGAAAGTATAAAATACAATACTGCATCTAACATTCAATTAATCAGTTACAAAATTTCTTTCACACTCATAAAAGCTCATTAGTAAGAAACAAATAGAAAACAGTGATAGAAAATCAGGTAACTAATATATTTAATCAATATTTGAAGATTAGAGAGGTAAATAAATGTTTATGCATGTCTATGCAATATACTGTACAAAACCTGTCCTTGTTTGTAAAATAAAACCTTTAATAAATGCTTCATGCATATTGTAACATTTCAGTTGAATTTTTATTGCAAGATATCTTTCCTTCTCTCTCTCCCTCCCTCCCTCCCTCCACTTAGGTGTTGTTCAGAGAGGGGGTCTGTCACCACAATCCCGAGGGCTCATCGTGGGAGGAGGTAGCCCTCCCTGGAGAAGTGGTCCAGATCAGCTGCGGCCCGGGGGACCTGGTCTGGGCCGTGCTGTGGGAGGGGCAGTTCATTGTGAGGGAGGGCGTCAGTCGAGACTGCCCCCAAGGTACACACGGGCATGACAGCAGGTGCGGGGGATGTGGGGTCTGCGTGGGATTGTTTATTTTTCTAAAACAATAGRATTTTCTGTGACACAGGAACCTCCTGGGCCGTGGTGGAGTCTCCCAGCCCTGAGGTGGGGGCTACGCATGTAGCTGTGGGGATCAACGTTGCCTGGGCTGTGACCAAAGACAAAAAAGTAAAATAATTACAAATATTTGGAATAAGTAATTGGAATAAATATGACATATTTCAGTTTACTAAACATAATGTTTTTTTTCTGCTATTGTTGATTTTAATTTAAAAATATATGAAATATAACAGCACACTGGAGTCTGTTGAGAAAATAAAATTATGATTATTAATTATTATTCTTTTCATTTTATTTAAAGGGCTTTGTTCGTTTGTATTTATCACTCAGAGTTAGAGTAGGCATTCTTATTTTATTATAACAGAACAAGATTTTACAATAACCAAACAAGAGATTCAGATAAAAATTCACTATTGTGCTATTTTTTTTTTTAGCTTTTCTTTCAGGCTGCGGAAAATCCTAGAAGACGTAATGTAAATGAATTGTTTTCATTGCTTTTCATATTTGGATGTGTTTTTACTGTCTAAGAGTTTAGTTAGTTGTAGTTTCAGTGTACGGAGGAGGATTTCCAACCACAGACAGCTCTCTTTAAGTGACGCCACAGATTTTCAATAATTTTCAGATCTGGGGACTGAGATGGTCATTCCAGAATGTGTTACTTGTTCCTCTGCATGAATGTCTTAGTAGATTTTGAGCAGTATTTAGGGTGGTATTCTTTTTGGAAGATGCAGCCCCGGCTTCAGCAGCTTCAGTTTTGTCACTGACTGATTCCTGGACATTGGTCTCCAGAATCTGCTGATACTGGTTGGAATCCATGCGTCCCTCAACTTTAATA